GGCCCGGCCCCCGGCTGCCGGGCAGGGGCTGTCGCCGTACCGTGCCCCGCTCGGCTTCGCTCCCTGCTCAGCCGCAAGCGGGTGGGGAGCGAGTTCCCCGGCAGCACAGTCCCGCGGAGGGCCGGGGCAGTGCTGCTGCCGCACCGCGAAAGGCGATGAGCTGCCGCATGACGCCACCACCGCTGCATGTCCCCTGGAGTTAAATTAGAAAAATAGCCCCTCTCCCCCAGATCGAAACCCCATAGCAGGTCCCGTGTGCCCGCCCTTGCCCTCCCCTCCAACCAGGCCGGGTTAGTCCCGCTCCCGAGCTCGGGCTGCTGGGTGTGTGTTGCAGGGGGCTGTAGGCCCCGGGCGGCTGGGGCCCGTGGGAGACCTCAGTCTGCCCAGGTTGGCACCGGCCGGGTGAGGATGAGCTGGACATGGCCACGCTGACCCCAAAAGTCAGCAATGGCAAGAAATAATCTTGCTAATTATTATTACCATCTTTTTTTTTTTTTAACTATAGACTGGTGGTGGAACAAGTATTTACTATAAAAAGAGCTATTACAAAAGTTCTTCTGAAAAGGGAAAATATTTGTAAAATAGAGTTAATTGAAAAAAAAAAATAAATCCAAAGTTCCTTACCTTTGTAGTAAAACCCCCCAAAATATCTCAAAATATATACAAACTATCCAGCAAGTAGCTGGCCGCCTTCCTCGACCATTCCTGCATAGCTCACCATCTCTGCACTGCTTTTTTGTCCATTTCGTTGCTCGGGGCTAGGCTGCAGGGAGACCAACGATTGTAGCTTTCCTGCTTGTAAACTGAATGGGCTGTTCTTGCTTCTAGGGAAATAATTCCCCTGGAATCTCCTTGAAAATTTAATTTTAGGAACCAGCAAAGAAAGTAAAATCTATTTTAAAAGTAGCTCTTAATGCATATGCATAATAAATCTTTTCGGTTTTTGAGTAAATGTTTATGTATCAACTTGTCTGTTATCTATAAACTGTTTTAAAATCTTCAAAACAATGTAGAACAGAAAGCAGTGTTCTGTATTTTATTACTTGGATTGTAGGAGCATGCAGAGTTGATCAAGGCTAAGGTTGCTTGAGCATGTGTCATAAGTATGTAGAAACACAATACTAATTCAAAAAGTCTGCAAACTTGGATCTTTTTATATTAGGCAGAACTGTCATATGGAGATCACTGGCATTAAGATGCTCAGGTCATGCTCTGCAGAAACTTATGCATGTTGAATAGCTTCGTTCACGTGCACAATTTGATTAAGTATGTTAACCACTTCTTGCCATATTCTTATTGCAAAGAGTATGCTACCATTTAGAGAAGGTGGAAAAAACAGTTCCCCTGATAATCAATTTAAATTTTTAATGTAAATTGCAGTGTTTCTTTAACTTCCAGGTAAGATCAGCAGTGAAATGTGCAGCAGTAAGACAGAAAATGGTAGATACAGTATTCCCTAAAATACAAATGTGAGCAACTCAATTTCATTAATGTTGAATAGCTTAGCTGGAAATATTTTCTTGGTTTAAGGGGCTAGAATCACCAGTGACAATGATGTTTTCTTCCCTTCTGCCCAGCAGTGAGATTAAATTGGAGATGGGTTCATTTTCCTGCTTTGATGACATTTTAACCCAAGAACTCAGATTGTCCTTTACATAGCAGATTGTCCCAAACAAGAAATAAACAGCATTTTATTGCTCCCAGTATTTAAGTATTTTGTACACAGTGGGATGGTCCTACCAGAGAGATAGAAGTTGATGGCTCTCTGAGAAATGTGTGTTCTGGGAGAGAAGGTGGAGTGGCATATGATGCAGTACTGGTCACGGGAAATCCCAGTTCAGATTCTATTTCAAATCAAACACAGAGAGGGTTTGACCAATTTTCAAAGCTAAAGTTTAAAAATGGTCCTGGTGGTTCCTGTCTCTGTGTCATGTGTATTTACTGAGAATTTATCAGTATTTAATCAGCCATGTGCTCTGCTGAAGGTGCATTTGAGGTAAGTGTCCTAAGCACAAGGCAATCAAAATGCAACAAGGATGACTGGCAGAGACTAAAATTAGAACTTTTTGTTTTCCTTTTCTTCCTGTTGTTATAAGAACCCTGAAACCATGTTGCATTTTTGTCACTGCAAGGCTGAAAAAGCCATGTTCATCTATCACCTCTGTGCTTTTGAAGTCCCTCCCACAGCCTGTGAAGTCTATAAATCCCAGCCTGCTCCATTCTAATCACTTTAACTTCAAAGAAGGCAGATCAAGTTCAATTTTTTGAGATTATTTTCAGTTCTCTGTTTATTCCAAGCTTTACATTCCCTCTGTAAAACTCTTTCAGACATTCTTGTTTTAGCTAATCTCCCTAGTACATATGTGCAGCATGTTGGAAAACCTGTCTGTATGTCTGACAAAAGCTTACAGCTTCCCAGCAAGTGCAGGGGACTTCTGGATCAATCCATTCAGAGAAGATGGCACTCTCAGAGCTGGCAAGAGTTGTACTTGCTTTGGTTCAACCTGATGCCCCTAGCCAAAAGCTCTTGTAAACTCCAGACCTATCACAACAATTGCAGACACTTAAAACCCCAAGATTTAGGAAGTATTTCTCTTACATGCCTCTCACATTTATTTTGTCTTTAAATTTGATTACATTAGGAAAAATGCATTTCTCTGTTCTTAATGATATACAATTAACATGCTAAAGTCTATAACTAAACCAGACATTTCATCTTAGCCCATGTTTTAGTCAAAACCATCATTACTTTTAAAAATTTTAAAAATTAGAACACATTTTCTTAAATATTGCTTGTGATGAGGCCTCAAACTTACAAACACTCCAAGAATTTCCAGGGGAATTTATAATTTATACACCTTAGCAGTAACCAAGGCTCACTTAGAACTATTTGTGTGTAATCTTACTGAGGGCGATAGAAGTTTCCACAATAAGGATTTTGGGCAGCCCTATCAATATTTAGAACACTTTTATGAGCAAAGTTAGCACAAAATAGTTCAAAATAATTCATAGAGGATTTTCCTGTCTCCCAGTTGGAGCAGAATGAAAATTAATAAAATGACAAATAAAAATCTGTCAAAGTTTTTTCTTCCTCTGCAACTTCTTGTCACTCAAATGTATGGACATGTAGTGACTGTAAACACAGTATATCACAGAATGCAGAAAATAGAATTATAGAATCACAGGATGGTTTGGGTTGGAAGGGACCTTAAAGATCATCTAGTTCCAACCCCTCTTCATCAGCATGGCAGATACATAGCAAGTGTATGTATGATACTTGAGAGATACTTGAGATACTCTTGATACCTGAGAGATGAAATAGGAGTAAAATGAAGCTAAGTTGGGGCACAGTTATGGAATAAAAATAATTTTTAGTAACTTAAAGGCTTAAACAAGTTGCCAGGCATTGGAGAGAATCATGGAGCTCCTGTATTGGATCAAAGATTCCCTCTCATGATTTGAAGTGGGATTCAAATCATAAAAAATTGTAAATGCAGCTCCAGGAGGCATCATCATTGCCTGCAGTTGACCCTGTGGAGGTGGTTTAATTTTGCAGAAGGGTGGGCAGGGAAAAATTAAGTTTTAGAAGTTTGCTGGGTGTAAGTGCCTTATATTGCAGGTATACTTATATATAGCAGCTACTCTGTTACCAGGAGGATTGTAATGACCATGTGTGGCCATTACAAAGGAAAATAAAGACATGATAATTTTGCTTAGTTCAAATGTTTGGTGTATTTGTTAGAATTATTCTGTGTGTGTAATGAAGTACAAATCTGAGATGTAACAGTAGCAGAACCATGAAAAATTTAAGTGATTAAGTTAGTTTGACAAAAATTATTTATGTAGCCAATAGAAGTATATCCTAATGTAGTAATTACTGTTAAGAAATGCTTAGAAAAAATGCATGCAAGGCACATAAAACAAGATTCAAAAGCCATGTTTAGAAAGGTGAGTCTCCAAAGTTTTTCCTCAATTTGTTTTTTAAGAAAATTTCATTTTTTTCCATATACCTTTGCTGCTGCCAGGCTGTTTCTGACAAAATATCTGGTTTTGTTTTTAATAATAAGGAGCTGCATTTCTCCATCTTCATTTTCACCTAAGTATAAACTAATACAGTACCTGTTATACTGTAACAGTAATTGATCAGAAATTAACCTGGAAAAACTTACAGTTAAGACATCATTATAGTTGTCATTTTTAATCTAGAAAACAACTGCAAGTGAAACATCAGGAACTAAGGGGCTTTATTTTGAAAACTTGGCCTTTTATTTTTCTTCTATACTTGAGTCAAAATCCCAATTCTGGTGAAGTAACTAAAGACCATGTTGTGGCATATCAGTCTAAAAGTCTGATTTAAGGTTGGATATTTGTTGACCAAACTATTTATAAAATGCAAGAATACTACACAAATCAGGCCATGACTAGTATGCTAACAGAAAGTTCTGCATTATAAATCAAATAAGTCAGTCATAAAGCTGGTGGCAGGGAAAACAAATCAAGCAGGAAAAAGAGGTATATTTTTAAATGAAAATGCTAAATGAGATAGCTAACTGATGTCTGCCTCATAGGCATAGCTCTATTATAGAGAGAATTGATGACATTGCTCAAAGATGATGCTGTAAATGCAGT